TTTCCTTTCCTTTCCTTTCCTTTCCTTTCCTTTCCTTTCCTTTCCTTTCCTTTCCTTTCCTTTCCTTTCCTTTCCTTTCCTTTCCTTTCCTTTCCCCCTTAAGAACTTCATGGCTACAACAGCAGTTGTATAAGGCCCTGAGTAGAAATGACATATGAAAATCTGTAGAGGAGCTTCTTGGGAACCTTGGGAGCTTCTTCTGCCTTCCCTGCACTCATGTTAATAGAAGTTAGGTGGACTTATCCAGAAGAGAATAGACCCCTGTAATGAGACTTAATTCCAAAGTTTCTTTGCAGAAGGAAGTGCAAGTTCTAAGCACTTCCTGACACTGCCAAGAAAATGGTCATCTTCTTTGCAACAGTCCTTGTATTTATTACGGGTCTTTTTTGTTTGTCTCATACTAGGAAATACTTTTCAAGAACTAATGGGCATTAGTTTTTCACTTTTAATTTTGCAGTTTTCAATATTCTTAGAAAATCACTAGCTTTTTGAGCAAAGCTGTTGCTCGTGACAAGTATTTGACACCATTATAGGCCAAACTGCAAAGAAATAATAGAGTATCTTTTAAAAAAGTGGGTGCTGTCACATTGGAAGAGGAAAAAGAAAAAAAATCAAGCACCAATCTGAAATCACTGTATTGCATGCAGATAAAAATAACAAGTTTGTGACAGCTGAGAGAAAGGGAGGAAAGCACCTTGCTTTTAAGTTTAGCCTTTGTTCTTGGGCCATGTGTCCCGTACCCCATTCAGGTCTGCAGCAATGGTTCAGTGGCCTGAAACTCTGGCTGCCTTCAGTCACGTGGGCTTTATTTATTTAAGTAACGTGAGAAAAAGTATTGAGCTAGTCGGGACTTCTTAACTTCGTTTAAATAGCCAACTTTACAGATTTCTTTTTGTTCTTACAGATTTAAAAGCTTTTAAACTCTGAAATCTGTTTTAAAACAATTTTTAATAGGGTTTTTAAAAGATTTAAAAATCTTTTAAAGACAAAAGATTTTTGTAACAATCAGATCCCTCTTAACTTTTCTTACTTTTTTCCTACTGATTTCCAAATGCCATCTTTTCATGGTGGTTTTGAATTGTCATTGCACCTTCAAAGAATCTGCCTGAGATCCATCTGACAGCACCATATATATTTACACAATGTCAGCAGCAAAGTCATTGCTGTCTATAACAGTCTATAACATTGAAACAACTGCTAAGCTATATTATAGGACAGTGCTGTGCAAGTTATTTGGATTTTTTTCCTTTTTAGCATTTCTCTTTCTGTTTGGAAAAGCAAACGTGCAAAAATTTACACTTGTAAAATATGTGATTTATGAAAACATGATATTTGTTCCATACATTTGTTTTTTAAATTAAAAAAAAACTTATAAATATTGTGCATTATTTAAAAATTAAAGTTCCTCTGTTGAAGCAGTGAAATGAGAAAAATAAAGCATTTTAAAGTACAAATCGTGTCCTGTATTAGGTAAGGGATCTCTGCCTCTTACCATACTTTTTTTTTCTTAAGGAAAGTAGAATACTAATAATTTGTGTGAATCAGATGTTTTTGAGTTTGTTTTATAAATAGTGAAACTCGGAAATGGAACATGCATAAACCTTGCCGTAGATTTCAATCTCTCCTCATTAAGTTGTAGTTAAAAATAGCCCAGACCTCCATGGCTGCTTCGCTGTTACTGGGAAGTGGGGCTTTCTGCTTGAGGTTCCCTGTGTGATTGGCACAGCTCTGTGTTGCAACGAGCGCCTGATTTCGGAACATTCAGCCATACCCATTCGCCTGGGACAGCACACGTTTGTGCAGCTCTGCCTTCTTGCAAAGATTTCCCCTGTGGCTGCTGCAGAATTAGAATTGGGAGGTGGGGATGGACCTACGGGTGGTGGGCTCCTGGCACAGGCAAAACCTGCCGTTTCAAGTGATGGGTGGCGGATATTGGGGTCTTCTTCTGCACACATGCTGGACGTCAGCGTTTCCTTGCTGTGACGCAGATCCCCTTCCCACTGTTAACCGTTTTGCCATGAAGAGGTTTCATGGAATAATGCTGCCTTCCTGGATGGTTTTGGTTTATTGGCTCATATAGAATTAGTCTCCAATTCTGCTGACAGTGAGGAGTGCCCATTTCCCTCCTCATACTTTACACTTTCACTTCCCAAAGTTGCCATGATTCAGGGGACAGCTACTGGAGGCATTTCTTCTTTCCTGTTCTCCCCCCTGCCTTTTCAGTGCCCAACCCCTCACCTACAAAGTCAAGTAGTTGTCTCACGCTTCACGTTGTTACAACATTGGTGGAAGAGCCACGTGAATGAGAGCTGCATGACTGGATGAACAGAAATAACCCCCGTCTCAGCCACTGGGACTCTGTTCTTGCTATTTTTTTACTACTGGAAAAATGATTTACAACGGAGTCCTTTTTCCCAAACATGTATTCATAGTTTCTTGTAGCATTATGAGTGGTTGCTACTGGGTGGAGTGTGAGAACTCAGATGCTTTGGTTTGTGTTTTTTGAAGCAAAGGTGTGTGCTCACATGTGGTTTCGTTGAAATGAATGTTCCCCAAGTGTGCTGTAATCATTAATTTAGTCTATCAGTCCTGCACAGAGTAGATCTTGTAACAGTGTCTTCAGGAAGACAAAGGTTGAGAGAGCTCTGTTGCAAAACTAGGAACTGAAACCCTATTTTCTAGCTTTGGGTGGGATTCAGCTCCAAATTAAGACATTTGAATTGTGGAAAAAAAATGTAAGTTAGCAGGGACTTGCTAACTTACAGCAGGGACAATGATCTGGAGATCGTTGGTCCAACCACCTGTTGAAAGCAGGTCACTTAGAGCCATGTCAAGGTGACTCTTAGCTATTTCTAGGAAGGGAAATTCCACCAGTTCTCTAGGCTTCTCAGTTTAAGTGTTCTCATGATGAAGAGATTTTCCCAGTATCTGGATGGAATTTCCCCTGCAGCCACCTGGGCCTGTGGCTTCCTGTCCTGTCCTTGGCGCATCCTAGTGAGGAGAATCTCCGTGTCCTCTGCAGCTACGAAGGTGCTGATTCTTGTGCTCTGTTAAAAGTCAGTGAAACTATGTCGGTGCAGCCTGCAAAGGAAAGCAACTGAAAGACTGCCTGGGGTGGGATTTAGATGCCTGAACAAAAGTGTCTAGTGCTATTTTAGGTGCTCTAGAATATCCCAGTCATCCGCATGGGACTGACAGCTGCGACTTTCCCTCAGAGCAGTAAGCAAATTATTGGCACCTCAATGATAAGCCTGTACTGTTCTGAGAGTAGTCACAAGCCTTCTTTTAAGCCCAAGTTCATATTGAATCTGCTTTATTTGAACATAAGCCTTAATTCCAGGAACAGGTTTTAGCTGAATTTAAGGTGATGCTGGATAAGCTCAAGTAGCCTGTGGGTGGACAGGGTGTTGTGTCCCGGGCTGAACCTCTGCCCGGAGGACGAAGGTCCCTTTCCTTGTTGAGAGGCTGTCGCACATCCACCTCTGGGCAGGCAGCTGAGCTTCAAATCTTTTCTACAAGGATCCTGATACCTCGTGTCCAGGGCACGGATGAGGTTTGCAGACAGCTTGAGCTCCGAGTGCCTCAGTGCTCGTGCCGTGGGGCTGTAATGTGGGCGCAGGGATTGTGGTCTGTGTCACGGATTGTGGCAGACTTGGGCGGCAGATGTGACTTACACTGTTAAGAGTCACTTGGCTTTTTTTGACGTGTAGTTGAGTGGGAAGGTGCCTGTAGTGAAGATTCCCTTCTTGACTCTGTGGTTCAGCTAAGTGAATGCTGAAGAACTGAGTAAGAATCAATCAAGATGCATTTTTCTCTTTGCTATGAAGAGTTCATGAGCAAATGATGGAACGTGCTTCATAAATCTCGTGAAGAAAAAGAAAGAAACAATAAACCAAACAAGCAAATGTTTGGAAACTGCCAGGCATTTTCTATTGCTGTCTGTAAATCCAACTAATCTCATGCATGCAAGGTTTAACTTATAAATAAATCTTTAGTGCAACAAATGTCTATTGCTTTATTACTATTTTTTCAATCTTTTTGCTTTAAGTGTGTGGTTCATCAGACCTCTCATGGGCTGTAGAGCTAGCATTGTATAGAATAGAGCTAGCTACATATGTATAGGAATTCAGATTACAGTAACATTTTCAGTGCATTAAAACCAACAGCAAGCTCCTGTTGATTACAGCCTATCCAAGACTTCACTCATGCACTGTAATACAAAAAGCAAAAGGATTTATCTGTGTTTCTTCACGTCACTTGTGCTGCTGGTAATGATTTCGTTCTCTGTGAATTAAAGTACAGATCCATATGTTACTCATTCTAACAAGGTGAGATTTTTTTTGATAGTGAACAGAAATTGAGCAGCTCAATAGGGATGTTTAATTGCCATTTTTCGGTTGACTTTGCTCCTGTCCTTTGTGCTCATTGTTATCACTGATTCAGACCAGCAGAACTGCGTCCCAAATACAAGGAAAATAAATGACAATAATTTTGATAGTAAATTGATCATTTGTTCAGAAATGAGCTGTTGCTTGTTTTCCATTTAATTAAAAATCTTTTCAGGCTCCTAAACAGAAGGTTTTTTTAAGAAAACAGCATTTACTGTACTTTTTCAGATCCATAGCATTCAACAGAAAACAAATACTATTTTGGCTTTGTTCTTACTAAAAATATTATTTTTTTAGTGTTGAATGGTGTTTTCAGTGTGTCCAGGACTATAGTTTGTTGTATCATCTGCTAGCCAATGCAGCAAAAAGTATTATTCAACCTGTATGTATTCCAGGATAGTAGACAGAGTCATTTGTCCTGTTGATTGTGAATGTAAATATTGTTTTTAAGGCAATGGTAACCAAGAGTATTTTTCCTGTTTACAGAGCAAGCTTTACATGGAAGGATTTAGAAGCCTAAAAGAAGGAGAACCAGTGGAATTTACTTTTAAGAAATCTTCCAAAGGCCTTGAATCAATACGGGTAACAGGCCCTGGTGGGAGCCCCTGTTTAGGAAGTGAAAGACGACCCAAAGGGAAGACAGTACAAAAAAGAAAACCAAAGGGAGATAGGTAATTACCTTACTTTGCTATTTCTTCTTCTCCTCCTTTGTTTTTTCTTTGAACGTTTTTTTCCCAGAGATGTTTTCAGCATTTGTTCATTTGTGAAAGGAAACCCTTCTGTGTACGTGAGGCTTTTATCTGTAGCCTCGTAATTTGATTGAACTAAGTTGTGCCTATAGAACAACACAAATCACACACTTGTTTGGTTTTGCTTTAGAACGTATATGTTGGATTAGAGGAAATGTGCAAAGGAATGTAATTATTATTTTGAAAATACTGCTATTAGACTGAAAAGAGAGGTCAGTCTGAAAGCAGGTGAAATCATGTCATGTTTAGTTGAGAACTGTGCATGCTAAAGCGTATGTTGTGTGCAGCAGGCTTTTTAACTGTGCATCAGAAGTTTCATATAGAAAAAAGTGTAAGTACTGCAGTTATGGTTGAAAGTGTAATTATCAATGAGGTGTTTGTGATTTAACTGATTATATTTTTGCTTATTGAACAGAACATGAGGCTTTTTCTTCAAAAGCCGTAGTGCCTCGTGGTCTGCAGGATGGCTTACTGTTGTAATGTTATGTTATGTTTTACAGTTTGGAGCTTAGAGCTGCACATCCTTACTCAAGTGCAGCGTCTGACCTTGTGTATTGCTCAGCTTTGCTTTCTGCCTCTAAAGGCTTGAAGAAGTTGGATAGTATGCTTAACTGTGAAGCCACTTTCACCTCGTTCCACAGAGGCAGTCTTCTGTATTTGTGTGAATATCGCTTATACCTGAATCTCCCTTTTTCTTCATGATATTGCCGAGCTAAATAGCTGTAACAACTGAGATGAAGGAAAATATATAGTTTGTGAAGGTCTGACCATATTTAGTACATCCCAGTAAGAGCATCCCAAGAGCTAAATAGTATTTGATTTATGGCACGACTCTTCCATTACAAATTCTAAAACACAGAACAACTCGGGAAAGAGAGGGTCACCTGAAAAGGAAGTGCACCTCAACCTCTTTAAAAGAGGATTAGAAGCTTTTTCCCCTTTTTCTTTGCCAGGTGCAGAAGAATTTCACTTATCCCTCTCTCTATTAAAAGGCTTCTTTTGGGGCTCCACTCTCCTAGAGGTGTCTTTTTTTTTTTTTTTTTAATAAAGAACTTGAGATCATATAATGGTCGTCCTCTTTTCACCATTTTTGTTAAAACTGAAGGCTGTGAACAAAGTTTATTGCTACTGAGTCACTGCTGTAACAGATCAGAGTCCACAGCCACAAGGGGAGACTCTGTAAGCAGGACAAAGCTTCCTTTTGGATTGGTAGCATATCTGCCCTTTCAGAGCTGGGCTGCATGCAATGGCTGTTAAAAAATCTCTATTTCTTTTGTTTTATTTTAAGACAGTCTTCCAGTTTAGTTGGTTTTTTATCCATTTGTCTTCCATGGATTATAATTACTAATCTGTAAAGGATATTAGAATTATCATTGTTACTGATGTTTCATACTGCAGTGACAAATCTGTAGTCATGCTATAGTGATACTGTTGTCCAGTTTGTTGAACGTGCATAGGAGGGAAGATGGACCTTGCTTCAAAAAAATCTTGAATTTCAAATTTGTAGGATGTAAATAGACCATGAAAAAAAATTATGTATTTAAGGAGACACTGATTTGTACAAACATATGCAGCTAGAATCCAGAGTGGAGTTAGTGGAGAGGAACTGGTACTTTCAGAAATTCCTATCATCCTAGGTAATGTGGAATAGATGAGATGGGTCTTGGCTGTTTCTCTTTGTGAGCTACAAGGGCAGCCCAGCTTGAGTGCTGTCAATAATGATCTTACACATCTCTCAAGTTAAGTGAGATGAAGCCCCTTCTCAGTTATGCTTTGTTATAGCTAAGCAGAGAAAAAGAATTGAACATACACACCTTGAAAATGGTGCAGGAGGGTGATCCATGAGACAGTGCGCTTGTTTGTGTTTCATCTGCCCCTAAAGAATGAAAAATTCAAAATTAAATTAGATTTGCATATGAAAACGTGGGCAAAAACATCTACCCACTTCTTCTGTCTTCCAAATTCCAGTTATGCTTAAGTAGACAAGACATCAAATATCTGAATGAGCACTGAGATCTGCACTCAGTGAAGAGTAGTGTCTTTGCTTGCTTGGAAGGAAGAGCAGGTTCGATAACATATCTGACCTGTAAAAAATGCATCTCCCAAATGTATAGCGGAAAAGGTGTGAAAGAATTCTCTCCTCTCATAAAATATGCATCCATTTATGAACGCTAATTCCATGTTCTTGTTTTCATCACTTTTCTTCAGTATCAATACAATAGAGTGAGGGTCCTGTCTTATGCAAATGGATCCCATGAGTATATTAGGCTGAGGTACAGGCAGGTTGTTAAGCAGAAAGAAGGAATGATGTAAGGAATTGGAGATAGCGAAGTCAGGGACAAAAAAAGTGAAAAGGAGCAATGTGTGCAGAGAAAGGAGAAATAGAAAAAGAGAGAATTCATGACATTACAGACATTGAATATCATAGCTCCTGTTTGTAGGTGTTGTGGTGAATGCACAACAGACCTAGAGTCTCTCCAAGATCTGCAGAACATTGTTGCTGTGAGACCTTGATCTGATGATGCATTGCCCCTCCCAACATTAGTGATGGTCACATTCATTTTACAACAAAAATATTGTTATTAAATTATATATACATATATAATTTATATGAAATAAGTAAATAAATATACTTCCCCCACAGTATCAAGAGTAATGTGGGCTAAAAGGGAGCTTTCTAAATGAGAGCTGGTTGTGATTTCACCCCAACAAATGCTGAGGTTCTGAACTCATCTATTATTGCAGAAATGCAGAGCATTGGCCCTGGAAGTTTAGGAGCCATCTCCTCATTTGCTCCATCTCTCAATGGTAGTTTAGCAAGTTTCAGTCCCATGCTATGCTCCACTACCAGCACTTGTAGCAAGGAAGCTTCAGACTGCATCAAATTCCAGCTCTGCCGGATATAACGCACTGGTCTCACCCTCCACCTTCAGCACTTCGATTCGTTGGGCTTGGTTTTAGGAGTCAGTTTGCTGTGGGGTCAGAGGGGGGCTGGTTCAGACCTGCGTGGCAGCGGGAGCACTGCAGTGGGGAAGGGGGGGACCCATGGGCACCACCACTTACTTTGTTCTCTCGCATAAAACCTGCCATGTGAAAAGAGGTCCCTCCTGCTCACTGTCCCCTTTCCAACACTAGCATGTATTTAAGGAGTCAGTCAGTGCAGAAGGAGGGAAGCAGACCTTCCCACCTTGATGGTTACGGCATTTCTTCAGTATCGACACCTAACTCCCAAAAGGCAAATATATGTTGCTTTAAATAGCATAGGAGGGATGGATCCTTTTACCTAAATCCTCAATCTCAGATTTTGAGATTATTTGTACACAGTTTTATATATTTATAATTTATGTTATGTAGGTTATATGTACAATTTGCCTGTGTTCAAGAAACGTGTAGATGAGGCACTGAGGAACATGGCTTAACAGGCATGGTGTTGAAGGGCTTACAGTTGGGCTTGGTGATCTTGAAGGTCTTTTCCAACCTCAATGATTCTGTGAGTCCATGATACTTAGACAAGAGACTAGAAACAGGATTAAGCAGCACTCTGTGATGAGCTTTCTTACCTGATTTTGTTATCAATATATATCAATATGCTGGCCATGCCATAGTAAGCCACTAATGTAATATGAACTACTTACTACAGATAGAACTTGCAGAACTCTATTAAAAAAAAAAAAAAAGCCAAATAACTATACTTTAATCTAGTGCTTTCAAAGAGGTTATAGCTGGACTTAGATCATTAGGGACAAAGTTTTCAATACTTGATTCTTTCTTTGGGACGACAGTTTGTTTTTTGAGTCTTAGCAACAGTCCAGGTTTTTCCAAGAGTGGCTTACAATCAGAAGGCTTTTAAATAGAGTAAAAAGGTAGGGAGGGGGGAGGTTTGTTTGTTTAAATAGCTGCCGCTTGGTGCTTTGGAACGGAAGCTGGAAGCCTGTCTTGGAAATGGGTCTGAAAGGCAGGAGGTTGCCTGTCCTTGGATTTGTGCAAACCCACCCAAATCTAAGTGACAGGTCACTGTAAAGTGTTACTCCATATTGTCATTGAAGAGTCCTTGTTAAAATCTCCAGATCATCCATCTGAGCTAGAACAAGCTCAGCAACCCCACAGCTCCTGCAGCCTGAGTATCCCTGCCTCAGTATGTCCATCATGGCCAGAACAGAATGGGATCTCTAAAATAGGATAAATTTTCTTCATCAAAAGAAGATGAAAGATAGGAGGCCTAAGGGAAGAAAGAGGAAACAACTGCCACTCAGTGGTGTGTATAGTGCCTGACATCTATGGGTCATACAATATTGGGTATGATTTTCTCTCCAGCCTTAGGGTGTACATAAATTTCAGCCTGTTCTGGAAATGACAGTTGTCGTGGCGAAGTTTTAGTAGGTACATTTCCTCACTCATTTGGGTGCTTTTTTTTATTTAATGCATTTTTAATAATGAAATTCACTATAAGGCAACTTGATTTTTTTCTCAGTGTTTCTGGCTAAGCATCTCTGACCGTGTAGTGGTTCCATATAGCTTGCTGTCTTGGGTGAAAGCAAGAAATGGGCTGTGCAGTTAGGCTCGTAAATGAACCAAATGCACTTAAATATGTACTTACCTTTGAGATTAAGCATTTTTTGATAGGGCTGTTCATGTGTTTTAAGTGGAGCAGGTTTCTCTGCTGAAACAAACCTGGGAATTTGGTAACAAGTTTGCCAAGTTTTCACTAAGTCACGTCCAAGCCTGATATGCTTAATTGGGAACTTGTATTAAGAGCAGAGTAGAGCCAGAATAAATGTCTTAAATGTCTCGTTGAATGTGTAGACAATTAAGAGGAAACAGTCTCCATATTTTTCATAGTATTTCATGTATTTATAATAAGAAATAGAAATTTGTTGCTAAAGTAAGTAGATACAGTTCCAAAAACATACAGGGAACAGATG